TTTAAACAGGGACATTTTCCATTTGTTAATTATATCGATTGTTAGACAATGTTGAGGAGGGAGTACGTATGTTGCAGCTTTAAACAGCCCGTTTATAGTTTGTTTTTTTTTTTCTTTTTTTTTGTTTTCTAATTTCACAGTAAATAACATTTACCGGTTTTGTTAAGCTTGAGCTTGAAGGTACTTAATGATTTTTTAAGATATTTCTTTTTTAATTAACAATAATTTAACAAATCACGGTTAAAATGTGTGTTTGTTTTGCTTTGGTTTCTTTTTTTTAATATTTGTTCGAATCAAATTAGTTTAAGGGTTTAATATGTGATGGATACAGTTTGTTATAATAAAGACTAAAGAAAATATTTGCAAAAAATCTAAAACTTAATTTAGAAATGATTAATAAGGCGAGAATTGGAAAGTGTTAAATATTAACACAATAAAATTAACAATTTCATTGAAAACAAATTTAATTTTTAATATTAACTTAATTTTTAAATATTTTCAACAAATTTTCAAACATTACAGCAAAAATATCTTTAAAAACTTCCCTTAAACATAATTTTGTTTCAAACCAATATTAAAAAAAAAGAAATCTTCTTATTTACACAAAAAATAATATAGAATCTAGTGACACAACAAACATGCATATGTGTAAATATTAATTGAAAGATTGTTTATTATTATAATTATAATAATAAAAAAACTGTATGTGTAATATTCAATTAAAAATGTGGTTTTAGCAAAATTAGAAAAATAATTCTTGAGGTTTTCGTTTTATGATGCCCTAGGCGTTAAATGAAAAAAAGCTTAGCTTTGTGTTAATAGTTACAATAATAATAATAATAATAATATAAAGAGTTGTTTCCGAGCAAATTAATGTTTATAAAAACAATATTTATTTTTAGTATGCGTTAAGACAAAATGTTTACTTTTTGTGATTTTTTTTTTCGTTTGGGTTTATATTTTACATAATTCTCTTTAAATTCCATCAATATGATGAAAATAATTAATATTAAAACTTTAACAATTTGAAAATCTTTATTTATTAGAAAAAAATGGTCTTTATATAGAATTGATAATTGGAAATGTAAGGTTAAATTGGGATTTTATACAATTTTTATACAATTGCTTTTATAACAAAGCTTTCGTTTAATTTTATAAATTAATAGAAATTTTTACTATATTATAGGCTATAGTATAGACTAAGTATAGTATGGATTATAATCTTGACTATACTATAGACTAAAGTCTTGTATAGTGTATAGTATAGACTATAGTCTTGACTATAGTTTTGTCTATAGTATAGACTATAGTCTTGTCTATAACATAGACTATAGTCTTGACTATAACATAAACTACAGTTTTGACTATAACATAGACTATGGTCTTGACTATAGTATAGATTGTAGTCTTGACTAAAGTATAGACTATAGTCGTGACTATAATATAGACTATAGTTTTGAATATAACATAGACTATAGTCTTGACAATAACATAGACTATAGTATAGACTTTAGTCTTGACTATAGTATATTCTATACTCTTGACTATAGTATAGACTATAGTCTTGACTACAGTATAAACTATAGTCTTGACTATAGTGTGGACTATAGTCTATACGATAGCCTTTACTATACTCTAAACTGTAATCAAGGTTATGGACTATAGTATAGACTATAGTCTATACTATAGTCACAACCATACTATAGTCTTGACTATAGTATAGACTATAGACTTGACTATAGTATAGACTATAGACTTGCCTATAGTATAGACTATAGTCTTGACTATAGTATAGACAACAGTCTTGAATATAGTATAGACTATAGCCTTGACTATAGTATAGACTATAGTCTTGACTATAGTCTTGACTATAGTCTTGACTATAGTATAGACTATAGTATAGACTATAGTCTTGACTATAGTATAGACTATAGTCTTGACTATAGTATAGACTATAGTCTTGACTATAGTATAGACTATAGTCTTGACTATAGTATAGACTATAGTCTTGACTATAGTATAGACTATAGTCTTGACTATAGTATAGACTATAGTCTTGACTATAGTATAGACTATAGTCTTGACAATAGTATAGACTATAGTCTTGACTATAGTATAGACTATAGTCTTGACTATAGTATAGACTATAGTCTTGACTATAGTATAGACTATAGTCTTGACTATAGTATAGACTATAGTCTTGACTATAGTATAGACTATAGTCTTGACTATAGTATAGTCTATAGTCTTGACTATAGTATAGTCTATAGTCTTGACTATAGTATAGTCTATAGTCTTGACTATAGTATAGTCTATAGTCTTGACTATAGTCTTGACTATAGTATAGACTATAGTCTTGACTATAGTATAGACTATAGTCTTGACTATAGTATAGACTATAGTCTTGACTATAGTATAGACTATAGTCTTGACTATAGTATAGACTATAGTCTTGACTATAGTATAGACTATAGTCTTGACTATAGTATAGACTATAGTATAGACTATAGTCTTGACTATAGTATAGACTATAGTCTTGACTATAGTATAGACTATAGTCTTGACTATAGTATAGACTATAGTCTTGACTATAGTATAGACTATAGTCTTGACTATAGTATAGACTATAGTCTTGACTATAGTATAGACTATAGTCTTGACTATAGTATAGACTATAGTCTTGACTATAGTATAGACTATAGTCTTGACTATAGTATAGACTATAGTCTTGACTATAGTATAGACTATAGTCTTGACTATAGTATAGACTATAGTCTTGAGTATAGTATAAACTATAGTCTTGACTATAGTATAGACTATAGTCTTGACTATAGTATAGAATATAGTATTGACTATAGTATAGAATATATAGAATATAGTATTGACTATAGTATAGACTATAGCCTTAACAATAGTATGGACTACAGTCTTGACTATAGTATAGACTATAGTCTTGACTATAGTATAGACTATAGTCTTCACTATAGTATAGAATATAGTCTTGACTATAGTATAGACTATAGCCTAAACTATAGTATGGACTACAATCTTGACTATGGTATAGACTATAGTCTTGACTATGGCATAGACTACAGTCTTGACTAAAGTTCAAACTATATTCAAGACTGCAGCCACGACTAGTATAGTCTATACTCATTAGTTAGTTGCACAATCCACGTATGCCGTCACATAAAAACATAGAAGGATTAGAAAAGACGCAGGACGGACGTTATACTTAAACTCGATAGAGGTAGGAACATTGCGGACGTTACGGTTGGAGAGTTAGGCAGTATAAGGTATGGAAACGTGACCCTTATGTACCTATGTACATGCCAGAATAGTTGAGCATGAGTGACATGTACTGACTGAACTAAATGGCGATAATTTCTGGTGTTGTCGCGTGACTCCTTTGGTGATAACAACGACACTCAGAAGTTAGCACTGTTCTCTGATAAGGAACTTGCTTACAGACAGATCGCTTCAGAGTAAGTTTCCTCTACAATTAGGGCACTTTAGAGAGGATTGACTACAGCTTGTTGGGCACCAGCTGGCCGAAAGAAGAAGTCGAACATAACAGATAATGGGGACATTTGCTACGGAAATTGTTAGCACATTTTAAAGTTGCAATTGCTTTCGATTTTACTTTGGTTTTGAATTCAAAAAATGGAAACAATTTCAATTAGACAAAATAAAGTTAAAATCAGAATATTTACTTTTCTTTAAATCCTCAGATCAGTTTTATACTTTATGTGAGGGATGTATGGTTTTTTCCAAAAGGAAAGACAGTAAAAATTTAGCTCTTTTTAGTTAGAAAGTATAGTAACAACAATAATAAAACTTTGGCAGCTTCTGTTGTTAATTTTTACATTGAAAAGGCAAAACACTGTGGAAGGGTTGTTCAGATTTTAGATACCTCAATTATTCTGAAATTGAAGTAAAGATGTGTTCATGAACAAGAGAGGAACTATGGTTTTTAAAACAAAATCATATAAAACAAGTGATTTACATATTCCACCAAAAAAAGTCTTAATTATAGCATTTTTTAGTAAATAATTTGAGAATTTTTTGTGGGTTTCAAACTTCTACTAATATTTTTTCCCCTGAAATTTACTTTTCAGTGGTTCAGCTTATCTGCAATGTGGTTTTTAAAATATTTTCAAAATTAATTAACTTAACACTTCTTTAACCAAACATATAGAGACCATTTTTTTCTAAAATTTCAACAACTAGCAAAGTAAATAAAAAAATAAACATTTTATCGTATTACAAATTAATAACTATGCATAATTGTGTGTAAGTGTGTAGTAGTTTAACAAAAGACTGGAAACTGTAGTGTTTTAAATTTTGGGTTTAATTAATGATTAATGATAACACTAGAAATTAACATAAATAAATAATAATTAAAAAAATTAAACTCAATGTTTAAAAACACATGTAAAAAACTCATGTGAACTTGAGGTTAAGAGTTAGTATTTCTTTTTTTTTTCTTAATAATTGTTTTTGTTTTTTGCTAAATTTTGTTCTTATAAACATACATAAATATATATGTATGTATTATACATATTTATAAAACACTTAAATAACTATATGAATTTAAAAAAAGAAAATAGTAGATTTAATTAAAATAAAAACATACATTTAATAATTATAATAAGAAACATATTTTTTTTCAAGACCACACCAAATAAATGAGGTTTGTAACTTCTTTTTTAATTGTTTTTTTGAAATTAAAGAAAATTTCTTTTACTATTAGTTGTTGCTGTTGTTATTTTTATTATTAATATTATTTTTGTTTTTAGTAAAAATATATATAATAAACGTTTTTGTTTTTTGTTTGTTTTAGTTGTGTTTGTTTATATTTTATATATAGTATATATATAATAGCATATAATAACATATCATCGTATCGATTTTATAAAAATATATATCAAATTTTACAATTTTCATTTCATCAAAATAAAAACAATAGATATTATTAGTTAATAAACATATTTATATAATCATCATCATTATCATCATCATCATCATGGTAATATAATAATAATAATAATTGTATGTATATAAAGTTTAAATTGTAATAGTTAACATTCGCACAATAGCGTAATTTAAATTTCTTTAAGAAATATATGTATAATAATTTTTAAATGTTATTTATTTATATTTTTTACTTTTGTTTTTTTTTTATATTTTTTAATTTGTTTTTATTAGTATGTATTTAGTGTGTGTGTGTGTGTGTATGTATATAAAGAACTGAAAGATTTTCATATAGAGAATTTTCTTTTAGTTAGTTGGTGATAAGGGAGATACTATTTATTGTTTATATTTTTAACAAATAATAATAAGCTAAAATTTTCTATTTATTTGCGCCTTAAAATCACTATGCCTTCGAACTTTATAACCCTTATGTGTTTATGTGTTGTGTCTTTGTGTGAAAGGTTTGAAATCTTTAAATGAAAATTTACAATCGTTCATTGATTACTGCTTCCCTACACTTCTTCCTGATAAAAGATTCACAGTTGATACTACGAATGGCTAATTGTCTGTTGAGGATGACTATATTGTAATTTACAAAGTTGGTTTTAAATTTAAGGGAGCTGTAGGGAGTGACCTCCATATCCCGTTTTAGAAAGAAAATATGTTGCATAATCAATGTAGCGTCTTCCAGGCTGTGCCTATTCCGTTTGGCAACATTGATATTCTACATTTCGATTCGACTCTCCGTCAATAAAATAAAAACTTATAAAAACGATTGTATTAGGGTTATAACCAAAATTAGGCCCTATCACTACATGATAGCCAGTAGTTTTCTAATAACGAAAATATTTTTCTCGGCTCATTTGAGTGCAAAAACTTTTCGCGGCAAATATATTTTCTAAAATCATGCACAAACAAATATACATGAATTTTTAAAAGTATAATCTACATGTTTGGGAGCTAAATTTGAAAGGGGAGGGGGAAACCGCCGCCCCATTGCTTGCGTTTTTTCCATTTAAACGTCGTGGTCAAACAATGACAGTAGTTTATGTGGAAAATTTCCAGTTTTGTATTAAAAAGTTTAAAATTTTGTTTAGAGTAAATATCTAAAACTGACACATTTGCTGCAGAAAATTTCTTTATATATTTCTATGCTCTATTTGAAAGGGATAGGTCCGATTTAAAATTTCCAAAAATTGTATAAAAGTTATAACCCTAATATGTATTTAACTACGATCGTAATGCAATATAAACACAATCGTAAAGCATTTATTTTATGATTTCGTTTCTGAATGCAGAAATGTAATCGAAATGCATAATAGGTATGATAAACTTGTTCTGAAACTAGTACGAGAATCAGAACCACTTCAGATTTGTATCAAACCCTTTAAACTGCTTACAAAAAATGATTTAAGAAAGAGTATTTGTTCTATAAAGATTGTCCGGAACTGGTGCCGCCTTGATTAATGAACCGTTTCAAGAAACGTCTATGAAACGAATTTGTGTCAGATCCATAATGCTTGAGTAAAACAAAAATCTTTGGTCTCAACGCCAAAGCAAAATAGGTACAGAACATGGTTTCTAAAACTAGATTTTTTGTAGTAAAATTTTGAAGATCGTTCATTCTTTATTGGAAAGCAAATACCTATATAATCTGAACTTTCTTCTTCTTTGATTAGAAACTTCAGTAAAGTATGTTTGATATAAGCGTTCTTTTTGTTGTTCCAAATTGTTAAAGTACTATAGATTTGTTTAAAGATTCATTCGAAAACGATTTCGTATTATTTTAAAGTGCAGTGTAAAGGGTCATAAACTTTATAAAACAATACCACGTTAATATTGGACTAAATTCAATGGATGGCCACTGTTCGGCTCCAAGAAATTATTTGGTATTGTTTTGAACATAAAGTTTTCATTGAGTTGGAGCACAGCTTCATCTAAATTAGATGTTTGTTGAGGCTTATTAAAGTTAAAGTTGGAGCACAGCTTCATCTAAATTAGATGTTTGTTGAGTCTTATTAAAGTCCAGAGAGTAATTATCAAAATACATTGGAATCGTTTGGTTGATTGGCTGATGGTAATTTTGTTCTCACGTGAGAAAGTTTTTTGTTTTATAAATATCTAAAATAAGTTTTAAAAATTTGACTAACATTTAATGCCTAGAAGTTAAAATCTTCTATTTTTATTCAAATTAAAGTGATGAAAAATGTTCCATCACTATTGTTGTTGTTTTTTTTTTTTTTGCTGTAACAATCATTAAATGATTGGAAATCGTTTTGCTACTGAACGAAGATCTCATAGACGTTGCTGTTGTGGTAAATCTAAAGTTCATCAATATGATGAAAACAATTTTTAAATAAAAAAATTTTAACAATTTGAAAAAACTTGGGAGTTATTAATGAAACCAACAACAATTTTATTTATAACAACATTAACAAAGTATACTAAAGAATTACATTTAGAAAAATCTAATTAATCAGCTGTTTAGTTAATATGTTAGTTTTAACCTCAAATATTTAAAGAATAAAAATACCTATTACTGCAAGATTTCTTTAAGAGTTTTCTTCAATACTTATTGGCAAGTAATAAGAAGTGTAATAATAATTAGTTTTCGCCGAAAAATAAACTCCAAACATTCCTAGACACAACACACACACACACACACGTACGGTTATAGAGTTTTCAATTCGTTTATTAGGATGGATGTTTAGATGTTTTAAAAAATAAATAAAAATATGCCTTTAGATTTTTAGTTGTATATAATCATATATATACATAATTTCTATTTAAAATGACAATAATAAAAACAATAGCTATAATATCGTTTCAAAAAATTGGTTGCACCCTTAAAACTAAAAACAATAAACTACTTACAAAATAAAACTTGCAATAACTTGTGAATTTAACAAAACAATTAGATATTTTCAAAAAAAAAAAAAAAAAAAAAAACAGACAAGAAACACTTCTAATTTAAACGCTTACAATCTCATAATTTTCAATTTTGTTTTTCTTTTTCTAAAAATCATCATCAATTAAATTAAAAAACAACTTAAAGTTGTCACAGTTTGTTAATGACACTTTTTGGGAACATTTTGTGTTGAAAATTTGAGTTTTCCACAAAGTAGAAGGAGGAGATAGTAAAAAAAATCACAGAAAAAAAAACTAACACATTTTCTATTAGAACCCAAGCCTCTTAAATTGAAAAATATTAAGTTTAAATGTTCCTTCTACTAGTTCTGGTATCACTTTTAAAAATTTTGCAAATGAAAATAAACGCTAATACACTCACTCATTCACACATACCTATAACATTTACATACATATAATAAATATATATAAGATTATATAAAGAGAGAGATTTGTTTTCTTTTAAGCGGTGTATTTTGTAGATTTATATGTTCTAAAAGTATTTTCATATTTTTGTTTTGTTACCTTTTTGTTGTTGTTCTTGTAATTTTTAGTCCAATTTTATGCCACTATCATCAGCATAGGGTAAAATTTTATCTACAATTTCGGTGATATCCAATTCGGTGTCGTCTAGTTTGTGTGACAAACGTTGTTGTTGATGTTGTTGTTGGCTTAATTGTAGATTATTATTCATTAAAGTTGTGGTTGAGGATTGTGTTACAGGTTGTGAGGCAGCTGTTGTATTACTATCACTCCAAAAGCTATTTAAACCTAAATTCATAGTTGACTGTTTTGAGCTGTTGTTGTTGTTATTGACGCTGGCATTATTCCAAAGTAATTCGTCGTTCTGCAATTAGATGAAAATGTTTTTTTTTTTTTTTTAATAAAAGTTAAACTTTTACAAAAAAATAATACATTTTAAGAAAAATTAATAATTTTATGTTTAATTAGTCACCTTACCTTTCCCATATTATTAACACCACCCAAAATATGATCCAAAGCATCATATTCGAAATGTGTTAATTGCTGCTGTTGTTGCTGAAGCTGTTGTTGTTGATCATTTCGAGAATCATTGGAAAAATTCAATGATAATTTTGAAAGGGCAGCTTCTACGCTATTAAAGTTATCAAATGCTGTTGAGGTCTGAGCTGATGCAGCAGCAGCCATGGCAGGAACAGTCAAATCCGTTGAATCAGTTAAATGTCTTTCGAATTGCATATTTAATGCATTGTCATTATTGTTCAGCGAGAATACTGATAAATCCTTAGGATTATTAGTAGTACTACTACACTGTTTGTCATTCTCTGGAGAAATCAAAGCATTCCAAGAACCAACAAAAGAATTTGTTGTGCTATTAGGTGATGTTGAGGTGTTAAGGCCTTTGTACATGGGACAAATGGGACCATATTTATTGCCTAGTGCCGCTGTTGATGTGGGTGGTACATCAAAAGTGGCTGCATCGTCATCTAGTATAGAATCTGAGCGTACAAAACTTTCCCTATCACGGAATAGGGAAGAAGATGTTGGCGGTTCTATATTAACCACTCCATTATTTATATGCATATTGTTATTGTTGTTATTGCTATTATTACTGCTGGGATTGCCAGTGTTGTTGTTGCTGTTGCTATTCAAAGTAACTGAATTGGGAAAATTTGCATTATTTGGCAATTGATTTGTGTGCCAAAACATGTGTGGTTTGGTCTTTTTGTTTAAATCTTTCAAGGGATGACCACTGTTCGGCTCCAAGAAATTATTTGGTGTTGTTTTGAACATAAAGTTTTCATTGAGTTGTAGCACAGCTTCATCTAAATTAGATGTTTGTTGAGTCTTATTAAAGTCCAAAGAGTTTTTATCAAAGAATACATTGGAATCGTTTGGTTGATTGGCTGACGGTGGCAAAAACAAAAGGTGATGTTGGTTTGTGTGAGGATAATCTGAAGGCTTTAGCAATGATTGGCACTGTGGATGTTGTTGGTGTTGTAGTTGCTGTGGCGGCTGTTGCTGTTGTTGTTGATGTTGTTGCGAGTCCCACAAAGGATTTGTGGGGGCTGGCATATGGGGCGGTTTCTGCAATTGTCGCTCGGGAGTGGGATTGCCAAAATATGAAGGAACATTGTAAAAATCTCCTGTTATGTTTGAGTTATTATAGAGGTTTTTATGTAGAGGACTCGATGGCGGCTTATTGGAATTTGTGCCCTGTAAATTCGGTGGGTTTACAACGGTGGTCATGTTTATGGGGTTATGCATTGAGGATCTAGGCGAAAGTCCTTGTACTCCCCCACTGCCAGTACTACTTATGGGTCCCCTTAGATTGGGTGGACGTATGTGTGGTGGAGGCGGCAAACTCGTGCCCATTGTTGGCATGCGTACAAATTTACCACCAACTCCTCCGGCTCCTCCTGTTCCGGCACCCACAAAATTCAGCGCCCCGAAGGGTATATTTTCATAACTAGGATGCTGTTGATGCAGTGGTGGTACATTCACTATAGGCGTGGGAGCAGTAAGACCCAACATATGCCCCGGAGGAATGGGACTCGCATGTAGAGCATTTATTGAACCTTGAATATGAAGCGGTGAAGTAGTATTCGATAAATCACCAACAAATTGAGGATCCATCAAATTGGGTCGCATTATATTGCCATTATTCGGGTTATCATTATTGGCGTATTTTCGCATGGGAGAAGTTTTAACCTTAATGGGTGAGTTGACCATATCAGCGGGACTAGTGTGCAAATGACCCAATGTTTGGTTAAGGTGTTGTTGGTGCGTGGTATTGACTGACTGATTTGGCTGTGAGTTGGGATTGGGTGAAAATTCTTTTTTCATATTTTCCACAGTTTGCGTTGACCCACTGGCGCCCGACACACCAGCCGTTGAAGTGGCAGTCGCTGGACGTGTTATGATTTTTTCAACAGTTCCAGTCCGTCGATGTTTTGCCCGATATCTTTGACGTTCTTCTGCCGAATGAGCAAAGGTGCAATTCGCACCGCGTGGACACATACGTCTTTCCGTGTAATCCCGGCACAAACTTATTTTATACTTTCCATTCGCAGACACCGGTGGTACAGGAAAATCTTGCACTTTACGATTGCTTTGAAATTGCATGAACTTAACTAAGCCCAATACTACGTGACGCACAGCATCTAAAGCCTTTTCAACATCTTCCCATGTAGGGGGAGGACCTTCCAGTGATGGATCTATATTAGCCAAATGCTTGAGATGAGAACGTATGTTAGATAAATTTGTTGGATCACCCGTGCGCTGCAAGGCTAAGACCAACTCCTGTATGGATTGGGAGAATGACGAAGGCGTTTGCAGAGTATCACATATGCTCTGCATATGCGACTTATGAGATGTATTGCCATATAATAACGATGACCATTGATCTGGTGCTATACGCAGTCCAGCTTCAGTAGCAATTTGTACAATTTGAGCATCATGCTCTCGCCGTAAGGCTTCATAATCGCGAAACTCTTCCTTCAACTGCATCAGCGATGAGTCGCCATCACGTTTCGATACTTTAAAACAACTAGCACGATATAATAATTGAACTACATGACCAATACTTGTCTTAGAAGCTGGCAGAAACTTATCAACCAAACGCTGGACAACATACATAACCAGTACTTTACGCGATAAAGCAGAACCATTTTCCAGAGCCATTAACACTAATTTCAACACTTCTTCTTGCATAGAAGGACCTAGAAACTGGCAGCCACGAGAACGCACTGCCGCCCACAAACACAAACTTAATTGTTGGGGATTTTGGTGTTGTAACAGCAATTCAGTGACAGTGCGTTCGCCCAGAAAACGTGATGTACGCACCGCACGTATACGACCCTCCTCCTCGACCAGCTGGCAATTTACCAAAGTGACTAATTTACGTAGCATTGGACGCGTTAATAAAGTGCAACCGCTATTTGTAACAAAGGATTTGAGATACTGGGCAAGTTCTTCGATGCATTTTTTCGAATATTTATAACTTTTTAAATCTTCTGGCTTTAAGTTACGAACACTGGGTGGCATCTCGGTATCACCAGCTGTCGCCTCATTGTTGTCACTATTCGAATTAAGCGTTTTGCTATTGTTGCCGCTGCTGCTGCTGTTGTTGTTGTTGGCGCTATTAATGTTGTTATAGCTGATATTCTTGGTGTTGCTGTTGTTATTATTGTTGTTGTTGGAAGTTGTTGCATTAGTAGCAGTGGAATTATTAGATGCTTCATTTCCATTATCATTACCATCCCCTGAGTTAAGTATTTGTAATAAAGCATTGTTTATAGGTAAATTATCAACATCTGTTGATATATATGTCTATAGAAGGAAAATAATAAGAAATAAAATAAGTTTAAGATATATTGAAAAAATATTGAATGAGATCGAAATAAATATACATTTTTCTTAAGGACAATCTGTTGCTATTTTTTTAATATTTCAATATTTTACAGTGTTTTGTTTATAACATTTTCCAGAATGCAAACAAAACATTAAAGTTTGTCAACGTTAGATTAGATTTTTTAAAAGATTATCTAGATTATTATTATTAGGATTTAAATTATTTTATTAATTTGTTACTTATTCGATCTCATTCTTAAAATCCGATATTAAAAGGATGCAAATCACTTACCTGATCGAATGGACATTGACGATTATATACGGTAGCTAAACATACTCGACATATGGTGTGGCCACAACCTAGACTTATTGGTAAACGTTGATTTGTGGAAAACTCATTTTCACAAATAGGACAGTTATAAAATTCTGTCCAAGAAGGCGCCTGAAACGGCATTCTATAGATAAGAAGAGAAAATACATCAATTATTATTTTTATTATGACTGATTTAGGTAGTTTATTTAAAAGTTATAGGCATCTTTCACTTTAACGACTCAGATCAATACTATGGCCTTTGATGTCGAAAATTAATAAGAAATAATTATTTCTTGTAACTTAACGTAGTAAGTTTTTTATAAATTTAGAAAAAAACTAGAAATATTGTATAACTTATAACATATGGCGGGCAGTTTTCTTTGAAGCTTATATAGAATACATTCCAGCGATTGGATTCATTACGATAAACCAAAATGTAGGAGAAAAAAGGGGTCCTATCTAGTATTTTATGTTGATATCTGGCCAGACTATCCCGTAGAACCATATACCGAACGTTTCATATTCATTTGGAAGCGAGACCAATTCTCGCCCAAAATATCTTCTAGATATGAAAGCGTAATACTACCCCAGCCTGACCTTTTCCCGGCTGATTACTATTTCTAGAATGTAATATTTGGCACAGAATGGAAAATTTAAATTTGTCCATGCCTTTGCCATTTTCTGTGGTATTTTCTATAGATTTTATATATATTGACTAGTTTACTAACTAATCTATGGGGTTAGACAACTCTACTTACTCGTCAATGATCTAAACTAGGACTAAGCTATTGACAAGTCTACTGACTAGTTTTTTTCTACTCTTTCACAAATCTATGAACTATTTTATGGGTTAGACTTTTGACTAGATAATTGACTACTCTATAGACTAATCTATTGCATGGTCTATGAACTAAACTATTATATAGACTAGCCAATTGAGGAGTCCGTGGTCTAGCCTATGTACAAGTTCATGGACTAGTATATTGACAAGTCTATGAACTAATCTATTGACTAAGCGATTAACTTATCTATTAACGAGTTGACTGACTATTCTATGGACAATTGTATGAACTAATCTATTGACTAGCGCTTTGACTACCCAAATGGGTATTTTCTGAGCTAGTCTATGGATTAGTCTAGTTTATAGAAACGTTTAATGAATAATCTATTGACTAATAAAGTATTTAATATGTCGAGACGTGCTGTGGTATGTTTTGGCATTTGAAAGCCATCTGTATTGTCCGATATTCATTCTCACTTCTAACCACGCCATCCAGTTCGGTACGATTAGTTAATATCGCTGTATAACAAATAAACTAGGGTCCCAGATTCTATAAACACTTGTTACTTTTATATTTTCTGTAAACATTTAAGTTTTTTATTTTTACCAACTTGGATGATTTCAATATACATGTACTATAATCTCGTCATATTAAATAATAAAAAATACGTGATTCTAGGACATATAACTAAAATAATATAATTATTGAAAATAAATTTTTTCGTTTGCTCTTTTCCCTCCGAAAATTTTTGCACATTTTTTTTCACAAAATTCAACATGACTTCATAATTTCATAATGATACTTTCTTTTAAAACATCTTTAGTAATGGCATACTTTTTTATATTTTTCGTAAAAATATTCGAAAAGTATTATGAAATTAAACATTTTAAACCTGATAACAAATCGAATAACGCTCAAATCCACTCCTTTCGCATATAAACTTTCCAAATTTCACAATCTTCTTAGAAATAACTATTCGCTTTTACGTGTATGTAGTACTAGTGATGACATTGTCTTCACAATATTTACAATCGTTAAAACAATTGAAATGAATTATTTGTTGTGTCATCAATATTTGTGTTGTTTGTGTATATAATGTTGTGATATTAATGATTAATTTTGTATAAAATATTTAGGAAAATATAAAGCAATTATAATTTATACACTATTGTTAAGAACATAAGCATTAGAATTGCATATTTTCAAGTTCTATTTTTCGTTTCCATTTTGATTTTGTCATTCTCTTTGTAAAACTTCAAAGTATCACTCTTACTCTTTAAACACGATGTCCCTCCGTCATGTGGTTCAGTCAATAATAACCAACCCCATAATCAATTCAATGCCAATATTAATATCCATATTTGATGATACAATTCAGTCTACATTCAGTCTACTATATTCAAGAAAAAGTAAATCATGGTTAAAAAGAACATGAATGAAGATTCGGTCTAAATCTCATATAGAATGAGAATTATAAATTGGAAAATATCTTAAAAATATACATAGTTGCGAAATTATTCAGGTATTATTTTGTTGTAGTGGAGTCACTTTAAAGTGGGTATAATTTTTGGTTGCAACAAACATCAAGGCAAACGCATAATAATATTGCCACATTGGTACAATTATACTTTTTTTGATACAATTCAACCTTTAAAAGTACAATGGTACACCAATGACCTGTTTGGTACTATGTATTTTATTACTGATTGTAACACATAATAATCAAGCACATCCCTCAAAGGAACAAAAGTTCAAAGCTCTTCAAAAAGTAGTTTCAATATAACTTTAAAGTGCTTTTTATAAGACTTCGTCTAATGACATTTCTAGGGTCTAGTCTATAGACTGGTCTTTCATTTAGATTATAGTGTAATCTTTCCTCTAGTCTATAGATTAGTATTTTCTCGAGGCTAAAAATATAGATTTGGTACAATCGAAAGCAAAAATTAACAATATTTAATGCTGTTGTGTTGCTTTTATTATGCACAGTACTGTATAAGTGAGTTTGTGAGAACATATTGCACCTTTTAAATCAATATAATCCCGGAGATTCCTTAATTAATTTCAATAAACATGAAAATATGTATGAATATTTTTACTACAATATTTTTTTGTTATTAATAATAATAATAATATACATTTCAATAGTTTTTTTCTTTATTTTTTTTTTTTTTTTGTTAAATTCTGCAATTCGAAAACGTAAGCAATTTCTAGCTCAGCAGCAGAAAAATCTTACGCCAACGTCAGACGTTAATGAATGGTTATTTCTTCTTTTTACTATAATAACACAAAGAGTGAGCAACAAGCTGTAGTAAAAAAGAAAAAAAAAAAACAGTAAAAGCACAAAAAAGAAAAATAAAACTCAGCTGATTAATAGAAAAAAATTTTATGTGTGTATGTATGCTGCTGCTGATGAAAGAAAGCAATTTTCAGCTGAATTAAATATTTCTTTTATTTTAATAAGAATTGTACACAAAAACTAAAATTCTATTAAAACATTATTAAAAAGGGATGAAATGTATAGGAAATGTCCTATACAATAAATTTCATTTATTTATATAAGTTTTCCTTTAAAAAACTTAACCAATATGCGTAGGCTTTAATGAAAAAAGATTTCTTTGATAATTCTAAGGCGGTGCGGGAGGTGTCTATAGAATTGGAAGAAAAAAACAACAAAAACTATCAAAAGCAAAATCATATTTAACACCATCAACATCATCACCATCGTCAACATTATGATACAATCACAAACCAATCAAATTGCCAACGAAAAAAGTTTATTTGTATGTCGGTATGTCTGTCAGTCATCTGTGTGTAGAAAAAAGACAACGTCAGCAGCGCTGCGTTACGTTGCGTTGCATTCAAATGAAATTTCACAAGCAATACAAAATTTGTTTAACAGATGTATACATTTTAGGAATTTTTCTTTAAACTTTATGAAATTATTTGATACATTTACTCTTCTATCCATATTCCACACGCAAATAAGGACAAATTTCGTTTAATTACTTTAATTATTTACACATTTTTCGATTTTTTCCGATTTTTTTGTTACGTTTCACTTTTCATTTTTTCTTTTTTTTTTTTGCCTTTTGTCTGGTCGTCACCAAAAAAAATTTTTTCTCAACCACACACACCTTCAAAATGCACATATTATTCTTTTCTTCCAAATTCTTTTATATCAACCAGACTATGGATGTAGTTTTTTGCTTTTGTTTCACTTTAAAATAATTTTATTTACTCGTTGAATTCAATGTAACACAAAAAATATTTATTAAAATAAATAAAAATTGCAAATGAAAAATTCCCGTTTCAATTATGTATTTTTTTCGAGAAACTAATATATGAAAAGTCACAAACAGAGAACTGTGCCGACAAACATTAACGGCGGCGGTGTCTAACACTAAAGACTTCGGCGGCATTTTAAAAACAACTCTATGCCGGCAAAGTTTTTAACTGAGTATTTCAATTTTTGAACTATATTGAATATTAGAGGGATTCGAGTAATTAAAAATCGGGATTTTTGAAGAAATATAACTTGCTATAATTTTATAAGCATGTGTATCATCATATTTAATATAAAATGATTGTGTAATAACTTTTATTAAAACAACGGAACTTTCATATGGGAGCTATGACCAATTTTGAGCGAATTCGAACTGATTTTAAAAATATATGGAATTATTGAAAATTTGGGTCTCACAGATATCTGGGGCCTTCATACATAGACTTCTCATGAAGGTGAAAGCTATAATTAGTACCAAACAAGATTGACATCCTAGACGTTCTTATTAGAAATTACTGTTAATTAATATTTATTAATTTTTTGAAAAACTAATAAGAAAAATATTTTCTATAGACAAGACCTTGTGGAGACACTTTTCTATAGAATGTCGAAACATTCGTTCATTATTTTGTTAAAAGTTATGATTTCTATTATTCGAGTACTATAATCTAGTCGATAGATGGATTCGACTAGATTATAGACTAGAGTAGTCTATAGTCTGGACTATAGAGTTGGATATAGTCTGGAAAATAGAGTGGTCTATAATATTGTCTATAGTATGGTACTATGATATAGTCTATAGTCTGGACAGTAGTCCAATCTAGTCTAGACTATAATCTAGTCTACAGTCCGAACTATAATCTAGGCTATTGGGTATATTAGTATAGTCTAGACTATATTTTATAGTCTTGACTACAGTCTATAATTTACTCCGCAATAAAGTTTATGATGAGCCCTACATATAGTTTAGTCTATAGTCTGGACACTGGGCTCTGCACTGTAACCTAATCTACAGTCTCGTGTGTATTCTAGTCAATGATAAATCCCAAAATACTTACGAGTAGAGGTATTAGAATCATTCAAAAATTAAAACCCCACAAACAATTCAGTTTAAATATTGTTTTTATTATTTTTTTAGAAATAGACAACATTAAAAAATCAATTTGTAAAAATATTCAACATTTTTTAAGATGTTTAATATTTTTTTCTTTTTTACTTTAATAATTAATATATAATCTAAAAAGTTGTTGCGAAGAAAAAAATTATAAAAACAAACTATAGATTAGTATTAGAATACCAACAATATTAATCCCTATATGCCAACAATTTATAAAATTAATAATAATTTACATACTTGTATTAAGATTTTTTTTTTTCATATTTTTTGTATATAATTCAAAAGTGCAGAGTAAAAATCGTAATTTCAAATATAAGAAATTGTTCTTTTACAAAATAAATGTATGAAATCTATTGGAATATATTTCATAAAATATATACATACAAAAAACAATTTAATCTTAGAAATCTAGTCATTATTCATAATAAAGATTTTCTCTTTTTTTTTGATTTTCTATAATATACAAATACATAATAGATCTTTTATATAAATATATAATGAACTTTTTAAAGGACAATAGTAATAGTTACGCTTGTTTTGTTTTTTAATAATATAATACATCCTGTGCATATATTATAAAATAAAGATTGAATTCGCAGAGATAATAAAGAATTTTGCAAGTAGAATTATAACTTAAGTAGATAAATGATAAAGAGATGTTTTGTTTTATTTTGTTAAGTTTGAAACTAAAAACATAATATAACTTGTTGTTTTCTTTTTTTGTACGTTATCATTCATAAAATGTACATTTTAGGGAAATTGTGCATTTCGGTTTCTGCAGTAATGTACATGTACTAGCAGTTATGTTGTATTACTTTATTATAGTTTTCTAGTGCGTTTTAGTCTTTTTTTGTGCTAGTTTTAACCTCGGATCCATAGTTGGAAGCTTTGCTGATTTTCGACATGTTTATAGCTTTAACCATAAATATATAAACTGTAAATGTAAAGAAAATAGATTAATTAGCAAAACATTTATTTAATTTCTAATAAATTTGTACTTACTGGTTACTAATACACCAACAGCAATAGATAAACCAATCCAATTGTGCAATATCAATGACGAAATCAAATAGTACATAATTAATGATATTGAGAATACTGCCCATACGGCAAAATTAATGAGAGAACACAAGCGTTTGGGATAGTATTTATAGGATGTTTCTTTTATACCAGATGTTGCAAAGAAACTACCGGTAGTATGGAAGCTATCAACAATTTTATCTTTTTCACGGAATAAATTTTGTAACCATTCAGCGGCTTTTGCTTCATCAGTGGGAACAGTATCCAATGGTATACGTCTAACGAGCATTAAACCTTCCACAGGTTTTACCATTTAAAAGTGTGGAGATAGTGGGAGGATTCTGGAAAAGTGCAAAGAAAATATGGGAATTAAGTAAGTAAGTAATAAGTAAGTAAGTAAGTAAGTAAGTAAGTAAGTAAGTAAGTAAGTAAGTAAGTAGTAAGTAAGTAAGTAAGTAAGTAAGTAAGTAAGTAAGTAAGTAAGTAAGTAAGTAAGTAAGTAAGTAAGTAGTAAGTAAGTAAGTAAGTAAGTAAGTAAGTAAGTAAGTAAGTTAAGTTAAAGTAAGTAAGTAAGTAGTAAGGAATTCGTAAGTAAGTAAGTAAGTAAGTAAGTAAGTCCGTTACTTCCGTCCGTCCGTCCGTCCGTCCGTCCGTCCGTCCGTCCGTCCGTCCGTCCGTCCGTCCGTCCGTCCGTCCGTCCGTCCGTCCGTCCGTCCGTCCGTCCGTCCGTCAGTCCGTCCGTCCGTCCGTCCGTCCGTCCGTCCGTCCGTCCGTCCGTCCGTCCGTCCGTCCGTCCGTCCGTCCGTCCGTCCGTCCGTCCGTCCGTCCGTCCGTCCGTCCGTCCGTCCGTCCGTCCGTCCGTCCGTCCGTCCGTCCGTCCGTCCGTCGTCCGTCCGTCCGTCCGTCCGTCCGTCCGTCCGTCCGTCCGTCCGTCCGTCCGTCCGTCCGTCCGTCCGTCCGTCCGTCCGTCCGTCCGTCCGTCCGTCCGTCCGTCCGTCCGTCCGTCCGTCCGTCCGTCCGTCGTCCGTCCGTCCGTCCGTCCGTCCGTCCGTCCGTCCGTCGTCCGTCCGTCCGTCCGTCGTCCGTCCGTCCGTCCGTCCGTCCGTCCGTCCGTCCGTCCGTCCGTCCGTCCGTCCGTCCGTCCGTCCGTCCGTCCGTCCGTCCGTCCGTCCGTCCGTCCGTCCGTCTCCGTCCGTCCGTCTCAGTAGCCGTCCGTACGGTTCCGTGTTTCCTTCTGGCGCCCCTCGCTCGTGGGTTGGTTTCCCATCTTCGTCCTTTTTGCTGCACTTCCCTACACGAGTTTGTTTTCCCAAAGCTTTTTGGCTAGTTTCCTGCCGCCTCTATCTTTACTGCAGATTTTCACTACTTATTCTCTTGTGCATTTCATGGCCGCCTATAGTATAGTGCTACATAGACCGCCCTATTGTACTTACCACAGCATCCTTTTGAAAACCAAATTAATATCGTATATAGCTGGACAACGACCACGTAAACTATCTAAACTGGCTGTAAAACCTTTTGTGCGTGGTATTAAATGATGTTTCAAAACTGGCATGCCACGTTCTTCGGCGAATTTAACAGAAGCTTCATGTTTTTTGGGTGTAAAACGAGTACCCTCAGCATTTAATAGCAGCCAGGTAGGATCGGGATAAGCGAAGACTTCCTTCAATTGGCGAGAAATAATTTCCTTATCCTTATCGTATGAACGCTCCAGGAAGACAAATTCGGCAAATTTCCATGCCCAACCAATAACGGGAACATATGCGATTACCTTTTTAGCATAAGCCTTACAATTGCCCAAAACATGAACTTTTTCGGTAAACATCCAACCGGCTAACCAATCAATTTCATAACTATGATTCATCATAAGTAAAACATTTTCTTTGCCAGCATAGGTTTTTTCATCATCAGCATCCATGAAAACTTGGAGGGTAGAGTTTGAATACCAATCGGCAACAAAAATCAATTCTGTTTAGAAGGAGAAAAACTGTGCTAGTAAAAATTATCATTTAAAGATTTACGTTTAAACTTACGTGAGTATAGAGAGTAACATAAGTAGTACATTATCTTACGGAAGAGTACAATATTGATGGGTTTCAATAACAGATGCAAAATTAATTGGGCAAAATTTATAAACAAACCCGATGTGAAAAATGTTATTGCTATACATAGATGTATCAGTCTTTGTTGTTTTAATTTCTCTAGAGAAGACATGATGTTGAATGTGTGTTCGCCGTTTTGTTTTTTAAAAAAGAGGAATCTGAAATAATAAATTACATTGCAATTTGATTATTCAAATATTAATGGTATAATAGTCAAGACTTTTCTATTATAGCTTATGGGGCAAGACTTGTCCAATAATCTTAATGCTGAACTTTCATATTACAACAATTACAATTCAAGCTTTTTCATCAACATGCAGTGGTTTAATTTATAACCATATCCAAATCTTTTTACAAAATTATAATTATTTATATTTTCACAATATTTTCCCATACCTTGGTATATTTATTTATATTCACAATCACTCAAATACTGTTTCTAACCCTTACAAATAACTCTAGTTAACTAATTACCGTTAACAGCAATTGGTTTTGTCATTTAACCAAATAATTGCTACAAAAAAACATTTATACTGACATGCTTAACTTACTGTGGTGCTATCACACAATCGATAAAATGAATTATAAAACGTTTTTTTTTTTTTTTTTGTTGGAGCGCGGTAAAAATATATTAATTTGAGTATGTCATAAAGTTGATTAATATGAATCAATGGACAAACTTAATAATAAAACAAAATGTATATATAATTTATTTATTTTTTCAAATCTATCTTATCTGGAATATAATTTCAACAAAAAAGGAAGAGAGGAAAAGTTTATAAATGTTAGGCCTCACACTGTGCGATAAGATATACTAAAATTTATTTTAAATTATAATTGAATTTTTCCAAAGTTTAATGTTAGACACATGTACTTACACGTATACATACGTTTAGTACATGTGTATATTGATTGTGTTTAATGCTATCGTTTAAAATATTAGTTAATGACATTTTCATTGGATTTCAAAGTTCAAGTGAAAGAAATTTTGAAGAAATAACTCATGTTTAAAAATAAATTTTAAATGCACTTATGGGAAGTTTAATGTTGAGTAATTCAAATATTTAAATTCGTTTATATGTATGTATACTTTTTAACTTGGTTATTTTATAACAATCATAATATTACGGGCCTTAAGTTGTTTAGTAATTGACTGAAAATTAAAATGAAATATTCGTAAGTGCTTAACCTTTAACTTTATGACAATGATACAAGTGTTTATTTAAGGAGCAATAATTAAATACTTTGAATCACTACATTTGAACGTTGATCTTTGCGTGATTTCTATAAACAATTTCTTATTTGGATTCCCAAAAGGAATTTAGTACAGAAATCTAACCCGTCCTCTAGTGTATTGAATGTGTACACTGACGGCATCAGGAGGAGTGGTGCCTTCTTGATTGAAGAATTCGGAATTAGATCATACTAACTCTAATCTTAACTATACTATTCTTAACTACAACTATTGTAGAGTTGTTTATTCAGAAACATCTATTAAACGAGCGGCGAATTGGTAAAGTTTCCAGCAGTTCGGGGGAAAAGTCCAGATTTAGTATTTAATCCTACTGTAGATAGATAGATAGATGGATAGATAGATAGATAGATAGATAGATAGATAGATAGATAGATAGATAGATAGATAGATAGATAGATAGATAGATAGATAGATAGATAGATAGATAGATAGATAGATAGATAGATAGATAGATAGATAGATAGATAGATAGATAGATAGATAGATAGATAGATAGATAGATAAGATAGATACATACATAGATAGATACATAGATAGATACATAGATAGATACATAGATAGATACATAGATAGATAGATAGATAGATAGATAGATAGATAGATAGATAGATAGATAGATAGATAGATAGATAGATAGATAGATAGATAGATAGATAGATAGATAGATAGATAGATAGATAGATAGATAGATAGATAGATAGATAGATAGATAGATAGATAGATAGATAGATAGATAGATAGATAGATAGATAGATAGATAGATAGATAGATAGATAGATAGATAGATAGATAGACAGATAGAAGATAGACAGATAGAATAACAGATAGATAGACAGATAGAATAGATAGATAGATAGATAGATAGATAGATAGATAGATAGATAGATAGATAGATAGATAGATAGATAGATAGCTAGATAGCTAGATAGCTAGATAGATAGATAGATAGATAGATAGATAGATAGATAGATAGATAGATAGATAGATAGATAGATAGATAGTAAAGATAGCTGCTTATATAGCGGCTTCACTTTGAGAATAACCAAGGCAAATATAAATTTACTTCCAACACTAACAAAAATTAATTGCGGAAGTATATTTGTTCATTTTTAGGAACTTATATAAATTAAATGTATCAGTGTTGTGGAAATAAAATCCAATTCAATTTGTGACAAATTCAATGTAAAATCGAAAATGCACAGATTGCACAATTTGCGAACTTTTGAATGTTTATATGAAAACGCTTATTGCAAAACTTTATATACCTTTCATATGAAAGTAACTATTAAAAGTACATAGTTAAAATGATAAGTGTTGTAGATGCCTAGAAGTTATGTTTTATGTTTTGATTTGAAAATAATTAAGTTGTGTCTGTGTATGAATATTGTAGATAATATTCGAATGACTGTAATATAAATCAATAAAAAAAAACATTATTTAATCTAAAAAAACCTTTGGACTCTATAAACCAGCTGAACGTAATTATTTGTTTAAAAGAAAAAACTTAAGACACTAGAAATATTCAAATGAAAGTAAATGAACGATTTATACGTTTGTATATAGATAATTGTATATTAACAAGAAAGTTTAAGAAGCTTTTCTAACGGCCCATTAAATGACAAAAAAATATAATCACATATATTAGTAAATGACTGTCAGTGCGATTATTTATAATTTACTAGCATACCCTGGGTGCTTCGCTACCCTAATCAAAATTAAATACATACAAAATTTTGTTTACTTTTATAGAAAATTAAAATTTATTAAAAATTTGTATAATGTTTCAGTTTTTTACGTTCAATATCACCTGAATAAATTCTCATTCAGTAAGAAGCTTGTATTTTTATAGAAAATTTCGAAAGTACTATTTGAAAAAAAAAGTACTATAAAATACCTTTCATTTAATCAAAAATTTTATGTTTCTGTATTCAATATTATATACAATTCAAAAAATATAATTTGATGAATGAAAAAGTACCAAAAGACCCTTTCAGTAGATTGTCATTCACTAAGGTCCCTATATTTGAAATTTTATATTTCTATGGTCAATATCGTAAAAATATCAAAAAGTACCATCGGAAAAACGAAAAAATACAAAAATCTCTCTCAATAAATTCTCATTTAATAAGGATGTCTTCCGGTTAACCATTATAGAGAAACCAAAAGGTACCATTTTAAGAATGGAAAAGTACCAAAGAGTACCCAAAATTAATGTTCCTAGATTGAATATTTTAGAAAATTCAAAAAGTACCATTTATGAGATAAGAAGTACTAAAAAGTTCTCTCTTAAAGAATCTTATTCAATGAGGACCGTGTATGTTTAATAATCATGTGTTTTGAATTCATATTAAAGAACATACAAAGAGTATCATTTGAAGAAAGAAAAAGTACCAAAAAGGTACTTAGGTAAAATTTACCTAAGTGGAAAGTACTAATAAAGAATACAATTTTTCCCCTTTTCGCTTAGAAATATACTTTTTCGAGAATTAATTTTACAAAATGATAAAACAGATAAAACTCAAACGATTCAAATCTGCATTCATTTGTTCCAGAAAAATTGTGCTTTTAAAAAGTACCAAACAATATACTCGAATTTTGTCCTATATAGGACTTAGTACTCGAATTCCAAAATAATATACCAAAAGCTTATTTTGTGTGAGTAAATAAAGTACTTTTTCAAATTTTATAAAAATTGGATCAATGAGTTTGAATAAATAAATATTACAGAGTTAGTAGTAATTTAATAGGAATAATTCAATAAACCGAAAAAGTTTTCTTAATGTGCTAAAAAAAAAGTACCATAAATACAGTTTTCTCCCTTTTACACCCAAAAAGAACTGAATTTTAAAAAAGTACGAAACAGGTGTCTCATAATTTTGGGAGATGTATCCAAAATATTTATACAAATTTTATTATGTTAATTAGTTTAAAAGTTATAAAGGGCCGAAAAAAGTACCAAAATCACCTTTGTTACACATTTTTACCTCTTAAAAGTACGAATTTCAAAAAAGTACCAGACACCCATCTGCTCATTTTAAGAGTAGATACAGGTGCATTTAAAATTTTTCTTGTATCACTAATATTGTGTAAGATAATTAAGAAAACCTGTTTTACCCGTTTTTTCCCCTTTTTACCCGTAAATGTACAAATTTCGAAAAATCCCTCCTTAGTGGATCTACATAACCAAAAACACATCTACTGTCAAAATTTAATGATTCTAGGTTCAGCCGTTTGGGCTGTGCAATGATGAATTAGTCAGTCAGTAACGCTACTCTTTTATATATATATAGATAAATTATAAATAAATCTACATATTACATATGTAATTGTTTTTATATTATATTTCTTTAGGGCGCTGTTACAAATTTTATTTAATTTTTTTTTAGGGAAAACATAATAAAACTCATAAAATATATATGTATAAGTTATTGCAAAATGTAAGTATGTTGTTTATAGTAATAATTGAATTTAATAGAACAATTACAACAGACAAACAAGATGTTAAAGGTTAAAAAATAAATAATAAACTGCAACTAAACTGCACTTTGTGTAAATTTATTAAATATGTATGTTTGTATGTATTTATTTAGATGCAAAATACATATAACAAAACAGTTTCGCTGTTTTTGGAAGTTTCACCGAATCGGTTCCCTAAAGAATAAAGTTATTTAAAACTTAAAGTTGTAACAGCTAAAACCATAATCTAGTCCTGTATCAATGTAAAGGCCTAAAAATTGTGCTAATTCAAGTAGATGTGTCCATAAATCCATTGGACAAAGTGAAGTAGGGTTAACAAAGCCGTGGATTATGTGATGGGTATCATGCGGACCTTGACCATATGCTGGACATTCGTTGGGGATGACACTGTTGTTCCATTCTCATCTGTTGTTCTATCATCTTTCTAAGAACTACTCATGTTTTCCGTGGCTGGTTTTCTTCTGTGTCTGCTATGGTAGGTAAGTGACATACAAGTACGACATTTAAAGTTGTCGTATACGAGGACTGATCTATTGGATCTTACACATATATATGTAACTGTGTATGTTCTCCTCGACAACTCTTTTCTATTACAGAAATAGTTTGCAAGCCAGCGTTTGACAACTTTAAATAGAGTAGATTTAGAGATGTCGTTTATCAGCGATTAATGATCGAACACGATAAAAGGTGTGCTTAAGTCCAGAGCTGCAACAATAGTGCTTTGTGTAGTTATCAAGTTTGGAGCTATTGCTATGAAATTTAATGTTATAAGGTGACTTGAGAGAAATAGCATATCAGGGATGGTAATAGTAGTGATTATAAAACCTTTGCTACAAGT